CTCTTGCTGCTGCTGCTGCTGTTGCTGCTGCTGCTGTTGCTGCTGCTGCTGTTGCTGCTGCTGCTGCTGCCGCCACTGTTGCTGCTCCTGCGGTTGCTTCTGCTGCGGTTGCTGCTGCTGCTGTTGCTGCTGCTGCTGCTGCTGCCGCTGTTGCTGCTGCTGCTGCAGTACCCCTTCGCCTCGATGGCTCCACCGACGCGGCTGCTGCTGCGGAGGCGGCTCTCTTGTTATACTGCTGTTGCTGCTACTGTTCCTGCTTCTGCTGCAGTTGTTGCTGCTGCTGCTGCAGTTGCTGCTGCTGCTGCTGATGCTGCCGCTGCTGCAGTTGTTGTTGCTGCTGCTGCAGTTGCTGCTGCCTCTGCTGCTGCCGCCGCTGCTGTTCCTGCTGCTGCTGTTGTTGCTGTTGTTGCTGCTGCTGCTGCTGCTGCTGCAGCTTCGTGCTGCAACTGGGGGCCTCCCTGGGGCCTCTGCCCGGCGAGCAGCAGCAAAGCAGCAGAGGGTTGTGTTGGTTATTTCTTTAGGATGAGGAGATAAATACAATCAAACAAACACATACTGCTGCTGCTGCTGCTGCTGCTGCTGTTGCTGCTGCTGTTGCTGCTGCTGTTGCTTCTGCTGCAGCTAGAGCATCGGGGCTGAATGTCGGCTGCTGCTGCTGCTGCTGCTGCTGCTGCAGCATGGAGAAGCTACTGAGTGTATATTTATTGTATTTTTATTTGTTTATTTAATGAATTTTATTAATTAAATTAATAAATACAACAAAAAGAAAAGTGTATTCTGCTTGCATGCCCTTTCGCTGCTGCAGCAACAGCAGCAGCTGCAGCAGCAGCAGCAGCAGCAGCAGCAGAAATTGTTGCTTCTAGCAGGTGCTGCAGCAGACTCTGAACGAAATATAATTAAATATTTATTTATTTATTTATTTATTTATTTGTTTATTATTTAATTTGTTATTTCTGCAATTCTGAAGGGAGGGAATCACCGCCAGCTTCTCATCGGCTTCCTTATAAACCACCCTCTCCACTCTCGGGTGTATCTGCAGCTGCTGCGGTGTCTGTACACCTCGGGGTGTATCTGCAGCTGCTGCGGTGTCTGTACACCTCGGTGCAGCTGCTGCGGTGTCTATACACCTCGGGGTGTATCTGCAGCTGCTGCAGTGTGTGTACACCTCGGGGTGTATCTGCAGCTGCTGCGGTGTCTATACACCTGGGGGTGTATCTGCGGCTGCTGCGGTGTCTGTACACCCTGGGGTGTATAGGCAGCTCTGTGTATCTGTAGGTGTTTCTTTCATCGCCTGCTGTATCATAAACAGCCCATCAGCAGCAGAGAAATAAATAACATATATATATATA